AGAAAGTTGGAGAGAGACAAGAAAGAAGGAAGGAGGGAAGGAAGGAAGAGAAAGAGAGAAAGTGGGGGGGAGAGAGAGACACAAGAAAGAAGAAAGGAAAAGAGGAAGAGGAAGGAAAGAAAGAAAGGGAGAGAGAGACACAAGAAAGAAAGGAAGGAAGAAAAAGGAAAGAATGAATGAATGAAAGAAAGAAAGAAAGAAAGAAAGAAAGAAAGAAAGAAAGAAAGAAAGAAAGAAAACTTATGATCACAATTGAGCCCAAAATTTTGGTTGCTAAGCAAGAGTGTTGTTAAGTGAGTTTCACCACATATTCCAACTGGGCCATGCCTACCCAGTCACATGACCGCCAAGCCACTCCCACCCGGTCACATGACTGCCGAGCCATTCCCACAAAACAGGCCACACCTACAGAATAGGTTCTAAAAAATTTGAAACCCACCACTGGCCTTGAGATATATAATCATGCCAGCCACATAACAATGGAAGTGTCTTCAGACCAAGGCTAGGAAATAGACATGAGCACTGCCCTGTAAAGTCAGACACGACTGGACAGGGAAAACCTTTACCTTTTGTTAGTCCTCCATTTACTCACTGTTCAGAGTTACAGCAGTGCTGAAAAAAAAATGGCTTGTGACTGGTCCTCATACTTAACAACCATCCCAGTGCCCCCCCCCCACGATCATGTGACCAGAATTTGGGCACTTAGCAAGCAATACGTATTTTCAGCAGTTGCAGCATTGTGGGTTCATGTGATTTTTAAATTTTCTCAAAATTGTTTTCTTTATTTCCCAACTTTATTATTTCTGTAAGTAATTGCCATTTCCAACTTTCCCAGATAGCTTCCAACCAATCAATGAAGAAAGCCTGAGTCACTGAACAATCACATGCTTTACTTTACAGTGATTCACTTAACAACTTTGGCCCCAAAGAAAAAGGCTTGGAAAATTGGGTGTGATTTAAAACCACCTTGCTTAGCAATAGACATTCTGTTCCAATTTACCATCGTAAGTCAAGGAC